AATTCATCCTCAGCACTGCACCATGCAAAATGTTTTAAAAGTTTATCTCTATGACTTATTATTTATCCAGCCATCGATTGTGTATAATTTTTAATTTTAAAAGTGATTAATAATGTGATATGGTTCATTATACAATCCCGTGTTAGCTTATCTTGGTCTGTAGTTAATGATATACTTACCTGTAACAACCTGTAGAGTTAATGATATACGCTTACCAGGAGGAAATGATGGCATTTTCTCCACTGCTCATGAAACTTTGATTTCTGTGAAACTGGCTGGGTACAAGGTCGATTTATTGATTGTGGTGTATAACATATGTGCATTTGACTCAGAACAGTTAGCTGGATAGAGGATTTGTGACCTTTAAGGGGAGAGCAGAGGTCAGTGGTTATGTGGAGACTCAGATCCTTATCTGGTGTCCAACAAGATGTTTACACTTATTCTATAGAACTTTGCTCTTATATGGATTGGAGCCTTAGTTTGCAGACTCAGACCCTTATATGGTATTTAGCAGATACCTAAACATGTCCTATATAAGCTGTGTTTGATGTACAGAGAGACAGAGTGGCCATCGGGCTGGGTCACTCTCCAAGCTGCTGCAGAGCTTGTAATTGATGCTGAACTCCTTGATGTAATAAACTTTTATGATCAAGAACAGTGTCAAGCGGATTTCTTCTCAACACATCATCTCAGCATTATTGTTCGGACACCACATGATCTTTTACAGGGTGGTGTAACGATGTGGAAGTTGTAGTTCCCTTTATGCTACTCACAAAAACAAATGTTATATACATAAATGATATCGCGCCAATTCACAACAAACGTTATCTCGTTGTACTTTTCATATAGAGCCGGTCTAGAGAGTTCTCTTTGTAATCTTATTTATCGTGACATGTGGCGACTCTAGGATCACATTTAGGGGGGCTCAGCCCATAATGAGAATGTCAGACCCTCTTGGAGGTCCATAGGCAAGCACCAGAAGATTTTGTACATTTTAAAGTTAAGTCATTAATCTGGTGCACTTTGAAAGCAGAATTAAGAAACTATATTGGTGAACAACTTTGCCCTCTTGTAAACCATCATGTGTTCTAGTAAAAAATTGATCATAAACACAGTGTAAATATATAAAAGGTGATGACACAGCAAAAAGTCCAGCAACCCAAAATCATAGAATAAAGTCATTTCCCTAACATTTTAGTGTTTTTTTTACTTTTAATGGACACATGTAATATGTTTTATACTTCCTGTGAATATCATCAAATTTATCTTATTACGTTGTGTTGACACCTTATTTTGAAATCCTCACGTTATTAAATGTGTACCATGGCGCTAAGTTCACCAAGTCTGGCGCAATTTGATAAATGATATTGTGTGTGGTGTTTGTATGGTGTACAATTTAAAAAGAGCTCAGACTGGAACACTTGTCTTTGTAAAGTGAGACAGAATAAACATAATAACATAAATAACCCTGACTGTCAGCTTAGCGTTTCAGTGCATTTACCATAAAGGCTCAAATACGTGTGCACTCCATATTTAGGTGCAGCTAACTTGAGAATGTTCTAACACAAAAAAAGTGACAGTGGAAACAATCAAAGCTGTTCAAACCTTTCGTTAAGGTTACCGTATGGACCTCAAATTATGTTGTGTCCTCAAAATGTCTGGGATGCTATCTGGTCTTGTGTAAGCTGTCCTCCTGATGTGTACATTGTTTGTTCTGATGGGCTTGTTTGTTCTGTCTTTTACATTCCAACTGGTCTGTAGACACTTGTTGGTTTTAAATAAAAGTTGGATCACAACAGGGGCTGAGTTGGTGATCAAGAGCAGCTCGGACGGCTCGGACTTTCTCCAACCCCTGTGCTGGAAAGGCTCATACATTAATTTACTTATATTGACATTATAAACAGGTTATTATAGATAAGGTTTGGTCTGTTTTTACAGACAGACACCAGCGAGCTGCTGACCTGAAGACATTCAGATTACCATGGTGAGTGAGTCTGATGTGTTTCTTACACGTTTGAAAAACTTTCATATCAGATGAACATTTGATTTTAACAACAGAGTGACGAAGGAAATGGTTTTAAATCAATGTGAGGTTGTTGAACTGTCTGGGGCCTCCTAATAAAGAGGATCTTAATTTGGCGGTGAGCTGTGGTTCAGTCATGATGAATCTTTTGAATAAGCTCTTTATCAACAGCAACAAGCAGAAGGCCTCGCAGTCAGAAGAGAAATCTCAACAAAATAACAAAACGAAAAAACAAAAGTTGACTGTAGCATTTTTGATCTTGGAGTTTTCCCATCAGACATTTCTATGTAAAAGGGGAGCTGGAGAGAAGCCAGTTTGAATGCATGATTCCTTGTGTGCTTTGAGTCGCCTTCACTGTAAAAACGAAACTAACAACAAAACTAAAGTTGTGGCAACAAACCAAGCCGTTCTCTTTACTTCAGGAAAAGGTTTTTTAACTTGTTGTCAGCTGACAAACCGTCAGTTGTGGAACTCAGGAAAGTTTCAGGTCCGTTTTCTGTCAGCTGCTGGTTTGAGGAGAGGTGAAAGAGGAGCAGAGAGGAGGTGTATAGTTAAACTGATGACCCTTCACTGCCCTCTTCACAGTGTAACTACAACCACACCTCCCACTGATGTCTGAAGCTTATCTGGTTTCTTATCTTGAATCATCCAAACGTCCAGATGAAACATGGCTGCCTCACAAAGTGCCATTCAGTTTAGATCTCCATGAAGCAGAGCTCCATGAGGCCATCTAGTGGACTGATGCTAGAAGACTGTTCTCCCTCACACAGTCAATAACTACCTGTTTTTCTTCTTCTTCAGTGTTTCTGCAGTTTGGACTCTGTGGAGCTCTGTCACGTCTCCGGCCGCTGTGAAAACTCTCCCATCAGAGCGCTGACTGACTGACTGACCTTCTGTAACACTGCCACCTGCTGCTGACTGACTGACTGACCTTCTGTAACACTGCCACCTGCTGCTGACTGACTGACTGACCTTCTGTAACACTGCCACCTGCTGACTGACTGACTGACCTTCTGTAACACTGCCACCTGCTGCTGACTGACCGACCTTCTGTAACACTGCCACCTGCTGCTGACTGACTGACTGACCTTCTGTAACACTGCCACCTGCTGCTGACTGACTGACTGACCTTCTGTAACACTGCCACCTGCTGCTGACTGACTGACTGACCTTCTGTAACACTGCCACCTGCTGACTGACTGACTGACCTTCTGTAACACTGCCACCTGCTGCTGACTGACCGACCTTCTGTAACACTGCCACCTGCTGCTGACTGACCGACCTTCTGTAACACTGCCACCTGCTGCTGACTGACCAACCTTCTGTAACACTGCCACCTGCTGCTGACTGACCGACCTTCTGTAACACTGCCACCTGCTGCTGACTGACTGACCTTCTGTAACACTGCCACCTGCTGCTGACTGACTGACCTTCTGTAACACTGCCACCTGCTGCTGACTGACCGACCTTCTGTAACACTGCCACCTGCTGCTGACTGACTGACCTTCTGTAACACTGCCACCTGCTGCTGACTGACTGACCGACCTTCTGTAACACTGCCACCTGCTGCTGACTGACTGACCTTCTGTAACACTGCCACCTGCTGCTGACTGACTGACTGACCTTCTGTAACACTGCCACCTGCTGCTGACTGACTGACCTTCTGTAACACTGCCACCTGCTGCTGACTGACCGACCTTCTGTAACACTGCCACCTGCTGCTGACTGACCGACCTTCTGTAACACTGCCACCTGCTGCTGACTGACTGACCTTCTGTAACACTGCCACCTGCTGACTGACTGACCGACCTTCTGTAACACTGCCACCTGCTGCTGACTGACTGACCTTCTGTAACACTGCCACCTGCTGCTGACTGACTGACCTTCTGTAACACTGCCACCTGCTGCTGACTGACTGACTGACCTTCTGTAACACTGCCACCTGCTGCTGACTGACTGACCTTCTGTAACACTGCCACCTGCTGCTGACTGACTGACCTTCTGTAACACTGCCACCTGCTGCTGACTGACTGACCTTCTGTAACACTGCCACCTGCTGCTGACTGACTGACCTTCTGTAACACTGCCACCTGCTGCTGACTGACTGACCTTCTGTAACACTGCCACCTGCTGCTGACTGACCGACCTTCTGTAACACTGCCACCTGCTGCTGACTGACTGACCTTCTGTAACACTGCCACCTGCTGCTGACTGACTGACCTTCTGTAACACTGCCACCTGCTGCTGACTGACTGACCTTCTGTAACACTGCCACCTGCTGCTGACTGACTGACCTTCTGTAACACTGCCACCTGCTGCTGACTGACCGACCTTCTGTAACACTGCCACCTGCTGCTGACTGACTGACTGACCTTCTGTAACACTGCCACCTGCTGCTGACTGACTGACTGACCTTCTGTAACACTGCCACCTGCTGCTGACTGACCAACCTTCTGTAACACTGCCACCTGCTGCTGACTGACTGACCTTCTGTAACACTGCCACCTGCTGCTGACTGACCAACCTTCTGTAACACTGCCACCTGCTGCTGACTGACTGACTGACCTTCTGTAACACTGCCACCTGCTGCTGACTGACTGACTGACCTTCTGTAACACTGCCACCTGCTGCTGACTGACTGACCGACCTTCTGTAACACTGCCACCTGCTGCTGACTGACTGACCTTCTGTAACACTGCCACCTGCTGACTGACTGACTGACCTTCTGTAACACTGCCACCTGCTGACTGACTGACTGACCTTCTGTAACACTGCCACCTGCTGCTGACTGACCGACCTTCTGTAACACTGCCACCTGCTGACTGACTGACTGACCTTCTGTAACACTGCCACCTGCTGCTGACTGACCGACCTTCTGTAACACTGCCACCTGCTGCTGACTGACTGACTGACCTTCTGTAACACTGCCACCTGCTGCTGACTGACCGACCTTCTGTAACACTGCCACCTGCTGACTGACTGACTGACCTTCTGTAACACTGCCACCTGCTGCTGACTGACCGACCTTCTGTAACACTGCCACCTGCTGCTGACTGACTGACCTTCTGTAACACTGCCACCTGCTGCTGACTGGCTTTCTGCTCTCACATCATCCTGACGTTTGGATCTGAAGGTATGATCAGCTGATTTGTTAAACTTGTAACGCATACAAACTCACCACCGTCCATTTAGATGAAGGGTTTTCTTGCAGTACAGTGGGGTTCCCCAAATATATTCCACAGCTAAAGGTTTATATTCCTTTGTTGAGAGTTGTCTGGAAAATATTGCTTAGCAGAGCCAACTAAACGCCGACTGCTTCACCTGTCAACAAGCTCCGTCACCGGCCAAAAAACGTCACTTCCCCACTTCCGTTCAAGCCATATGGGTGAGCGGTAAATAATAACCAAAGAAATTATAAATTATAATAACTATAATTAGAGTCCATATTATAACCTGTGTTTACATAAATGGTAATTGGTCTGTATTTGTATGGCGCCTTTCAAGTCATTTGGACACTCAGCTGTGTTCTTAATTGGCCAGCAAACTGGCCTGACCTTAACCCTGTAGAAAATCTATGGGGTATTGTGAAGAGGAAGATGCGATATGCCAGACCCAACAATGCAGAAGAGCTGAAGGCCACTATCAGAGCAACCTGGGCTCTCATAACACCTGAGCAGTGCCACAGACTGATGGACTCCATGCCACGCCGCATTGCTGCAGTAATTCAGGCAAAAGGGCCCCAACTAAGTACTGAGTGCTGTACATGCTCATACTTTTCATGTTCATACTTTTCAGTTGGCCAACATTTCTAAAAATCCTTTTTTTGTATTGGTCTTAAGTAATATTCTAATTTTCAGAGATACTGAATTAGGAATTTTCATTAGTTGTAGTAGTTCCAAAATTAAAAGGAATGAACACTTGAAATATATCAGTCTGTGTGGAATGAATGTATACATTATACAGGTTTCACTTTTTGAATGGAATTATTGAAATAAATCAACTTTTTGATGATATTCTAATTATATGACCAGCATTTTAACAAGTGAGGTAAAACAATAAAATTAGCATTTTTTTATTCAGAAGTAATTGTTACTACAATCAGTTATATATTTGTATTTCACTGCGTGAGAAAATGAATGTGTGGATTGACAGCATGTGAAAAATGTCAATTACGTGAGTCTCACGAGACGGCTCTTTTCATGACATGACTATTAATTATCTGTTCATTTCTTTGGGACGCGAGGCCTTCGCTGTACCTGTCACAGTGATGTGTGTCGCCTGTTGTTTTCTGTCATATGCTGGTGGTGAGGAGACACACATTGATCAACACATACACAAAGTCCAACTTCACTTCACTCAGAAGGAGTGTGGGGTCAAAGTAAGACAATACAAAAACACGTTTAGAGATGTGGTGTCTGAACAATAACGCTGCGATGATGTGTTGAGAAGAAATCCGCTTGACACTGTTCTTGATTATAAAAGTTTATTACATCAAAGAATTCAGCATCAATTACAAGCTCTGCAGCAGCTTGGAGAGTGACCCAGCCCGATGGCCACTCTGTCTCTCTGTACATCGAACACAGCTTATATAGGACATGTTTAGGTATCTGCTAAATACCATATAAGGGCACAGTCCCTTCATAAACACTAATCACTACTCCTCCTAACACTGGGTCAGAGGTCAAATTCCATAGGAGGGTTCACTCTTTACACACTCATCAATCATTACTCCCCCTTAAGAGTTCACTGAGCCTCTCTCCAGCTGCTAGAGTATTATTTTAAACTGTAATGGTCAAATGCACATATGTTATACACCACAGAGACAATGCAGACATTTATTAGTTATTAAGAGATGACTAACGGCTAATCAGTAGTGATAAAGTTTTTAGTCTGATTAGTAAGTTTTTTCTTGTATTTACTGTAACAGCAACCAAAAGATAAAGGACAAAACAGGAAGTGAAAGTTTTGTATGATATTAACATCACGTACCAAACCTCTCTTTCTCAATTCAGTTCAATTCAATGTGCTTTACTGGCAATGCAATTCACGACTATTTACTTTAGCAATTATAAGTTACAACAACCAAAGCTTTGTCTGAGGGGAGGCCTGCAGTCTCAGGCTTTGAAAACCCCTGATTTACAGGACATGTTTTTTTGGCATGTTGTTACTGTTTGGAGCAGGTCTGAATTGTTTTGCTGCTGTGGTTTGAGTTATTGAGTTAACTTACAGTTTGTAAAATGTGCCCAAGTATAATTAATCATTTTAATAATAAGTCATTTAGCTGACACTTTTTTCCAAAGCAACTTACAATTTCTCTATATGTCAGAGGTCGCACAGCTCTGGAGCAACTAGGGGTTAAGTGTCTCGCTCAGGGACACATCTGTCTCCTACACCACTGCGCTGTCAGCATGGAAATTAACTATTCCTTTTGTGTTACTTTCACTGGGTGCATTATTCTGATGGTAAGATGTGCTGCGTAGGTTATAAATCTATTTACCCATGATCCATCAGGGGAGCTAGCGTCTTGTTAAGAGGAGCCGAGCTCCCCCGTAGTTTGCACCCTGCGTACAATCTCCACCATCGGATTCCCGCAACAGGAAATAACGTTACTCTTTTACTCATGGATTAGTTTTTCTGCCACCATAATGTTTCTCGGTGTTCGTGAATTTTTTTTGTGAAGATTGTAACGGGTATAATATTACCGATTATTTTTAGTAATGCGTTACAGCAAAAACAATACATTACTGTAAATGCGTTACTTTTGTAACGCGTTACTCCCAACACCGCTCATAAACAACTGAACTGCAAACTTTTGCCTGCTGATCAGTGGTTTTATTGATCACTGAAATGGCATTGACTTGGATGGGTGTTTTTTTCAAAGGTTGGATGCAGTGCTTAATTTGTAAATTATTATGCGCTGGAAATGTGCCGCCTGCCTAAAATAATTAATAATTTAAAACGCATTATTCAAAAAGTTAAAAGGGTCCATTAGAACCTGTTAGGCTGGATGAAATCTTGTAGTTTACTTGTGTAGAAGGGCAGTGCATTGACGGAGTTGGGGGGGGGGGGGGGGGGGGGGGGGGGGGTCACTATATTTTTGCAGTAACTTAGCCAACACTGCACATTGAAAATTAACATTTGTAAATGTCAGTAATCTGTCTCTGTGGCTGTTTGAGATTTAAGGAAGATTAATCTTGTTAAAACAGTTGGAGTTCCTGTTTCTGGATGACCTGCAGGTACTTCACACCCTGCTTTTGAGGAAGAAGATATTTTAACATTGCTTAAAGTTTCGCTTTCTCATAAGAAATATGCTTTAGTTTGCTTTCTTTGTACTGCTCAGAAAAATGAAGGGAGCACAATAGTTCAAAGTTCAAACTCTTTACAGTACAATTCACTGAGAACAGTGGAAACCCAAATCACCAAATGATTGAGCAGCAAGCAGACCAGTCCTTGTTAAAACAGACTTTTAGGAGAGCCTATTTAGTTGTTTTAGTTTTTATCTTTTAACTGTATTTTAATTTCTGATGTATTTTCTTGCTTTTATCGTGTATCTTGTTGTGTGTTTGTGTTTTATTGTCTTTGCACTTTTTAACGTGGTTGTAAACTGCTCTATAAATAAAGGGTTCTTTTATTATTATAATTATAATTATTTTCAACCTCTCACTGAGGTTGAAGGTGGCGCCGAAGATCTGGATCGTCCCTGTCTCCAAAAAGGGATGCAGTCTCTGTGGGCCCTCTTCCTCTTTTGGTCCCTGTCTCTCCTGCATCTTTTGAAAAATATTGACAAATAATTGAGCTGTACACATTAAACTGTGGTGCTAATTAGGGTAGTCACCAATGAACCATTCTTACTGTAGTGCAGGAGTAATGACTTGAGGTAGGTGGATTTGGTATACAGTATATAAAATATGACAATGTGAGCAGTATGAGCAGCACTGAAATCGAGAATAGTGAATAAATAATAAGTGGTAACCAGTAAACAGGTGGCTGATTAGAGACTGATTAGAGTTACTGGGTTATTGCACAAGAATTGATTCCTGACACTGTGAGTCAGAGTCAGCTGTTCATCAGAGTGATGGCTTGTGGGAAGGAACTGTCCCTGAGTCTGTTGGTTTTGGCGTACAGTGCTCTGTAGCACCTGCCAGAGGGGAGGAGCTGGAACAGGTTGTGTCCGGGGTGAGATGGATCCGCAGTGATGTTTCCTGACTCTGGAAATATCAAATATCAAAGTCCTGAATGGAGGATATATAATAATATCTAATATAATATAATATGTATATTCCTCTGTGCTGCTGTGCCAAACTGAATTTCCCCTACAGGGGGTTAATAAAGGAACATCTTATCTTAAAGTTTTAATGAACCTTTAGTATGCTTGCTCTGTAAAACCAATGAAAAGGTTTATTTCAGTTTTAGTTTGACCATGTAACTGACCCCTTACTATGATGTCATCTGAAAACTCCCCTCAGCTCCACTGTATAAAAGCAGATGTAATACTGGAGGCTCTCCACTTGTTTTTCCTTTTTCTATGTATTGACTTCTGCAACTGATGCTCAAAGATTCTTCAACAAGGCTTCGGTAAGGCCACACATTGAACTGTTTTCTAATAATTTTAGCCTCAAGAGAGTGTCAAGCATTAAAGGTGTTAGAGTAGGAGTTATAGGCAGAGTGATTCAGTGTGACTTTGTCTTTTAATTCAATTCAATTCAAAAAAAAAAATTAAGAGGTGTTTTGTTTTTTTAATAATTCCTCAACATCGCAAAACATAACATCAGAGATAAAAAAAACTCTACTAATTGTTTCCTTGAACTGGAATTCGATGGTTGAGATTGTAGCCAGGGTGCAAACTACAGGGGAGCTCAGCTTTTCTTAAGAAGATGGTAGCTCCCCAGAAAACAATAGGTCTATTGACTGCAAGAGCCTATTAGCACTCTTGGCATAAATAGGAACCACTCTTTGGTTCCTCAGATGCTAACCGGAAGCACAGACAGTTTTTGACCACACACGCACACATGCATGCACACACACACAATACCACTACACAGTCATACATATACAACCATTGTCTAGAAAAACTATGGAAATGAATGGAAATAAATTAAAATCAATGGTTTTACCAGCAAATACTTTGATCAATCAAATCAGTAAAATGTGCACTAATTACTCAACCTTGGCACAGCACCTCAGGGGCGTAAAGCTTGGGCTTAGCCTCTACATTGACATTATGATATTTTGCCATTCATTACATTTTTTCTGAATAGTTATCATTATGGATCATGTGTAAATTGAATTTGATTTGACTTTCATGATCAGAGAGGCTGCTGTCAGTGCATCCTGACCGATACTGTCAAAATATCAGGAGATTAAATTAATCAGTGAAGTTAAGCTGCTGTACCTTGTGCGTAAATGCGCACAGACTTTTACTTAATGGGGAGACAATTCATCCTATTTCACTAATCTTCAGGCCACCCGCAATAAATAAAGTGTTTATGTTTAAGACCCACCAGATCTGTGGACATAACTGTGATCATCACACCCAAAGCACCCACCTATCCAAGCGCGTCTTAATATATGAAAAATGCACCCATTAGACAGCAGTGAAAGCAGGGTGCGAACTATGGGGAGCCAGGGGGAGCTTTGCTCCTCTTAATAAGACACAAACTCCCCTGAAAACATCATTTTTGAAACTTTGGTAGGTCTCTGAAATATTGACAATAGTTAACAGTACTTTTATATGAGTACAGGTTTTGGCTACTCAACCTCCCTCTGCCTGTAGGCCGTCTCGTAGTAGTTAATGAGTCCGCCTACTACTGTGGTGTCATCCAGACTTTACTATTGAAAGTTTGAGTGGTAATATAGAAGGGAGATGTGGATCCTTAAGACTCTGTTCCAGGCAGATGCTGTTAAACAGATGTGCTCACTCCCTGCTGTCATACATCATAATGTAGGTGATGTAATTTTATCATTTCCATTACACTTCTGCAGGTATTTCATTTCTACTACTTTCTACTTCAATTGCACCACATCTCAGAGGGAAATTTAGTTTTTTTAATGCTGCACTGGCAGCTTTAGTTACTAGTTACTTTACCTTATACAGCTTACTCATCTGCAACTGTTCTTTTTAAACTGGATTGAAAAAAACATTTAGATTTACTCTTTGCACATTGCTTAACCAAGAAAAACATTGAAAATACTATGGCATTAATCCCTCATAAATTAATAATGACGTTATTTTTCACAGAAATACTTGGTTGTCATTTAAATTATTTCATCAAATGGAATCGTTTCTGAATCGAATAATGAACTTCACATCATAAATCACATCGAAGTGTGAGATTAACACGTCATTATATTCCTAATATGTTTAGAATCTTACTCTCTTGCCAATGCAAAGCTCCAAACATAATGTAAATGGTGTGTATATTGACATTCTTTATTTTATTTTTTACATTTCTGCTTTGTTATGACACTTACAGCTGGACAGAGACAGGAAAGGAGAGAGAGAGGTTGGCAGACAAAGGGACTCGGGTTTCAATCAAACTCACCACTGCAGAAAGGACTCAGCCTTTACACATGGTATGCATTGTAACAGGTGAGCAAATACTGTATTGTTTTGTTGGCTATGCTCCATTTTACAAAGAACCAAAGAAGCAGGAGTTCCTGCTTTGAGTTAGTTTGTATTTCATAAATATGTCTTTTTTGTTTGTTTCATCAAAACACAGGTTCACAAAAAATCACCACTTAATTGCTGAATAAATCTATAAAAATGGGAAACAAAGTACCATCAGAATGTAACATGGGCGACCGCCTGAGATGCTGCAAGTGTTATAAAGTCCTGCCTCCGTGCACATCCTTTGATAATCTCTCCAAAAGTACTGTTCATGGGCGGTACGTCTATGTGTTCAATGGAGGTGAATACTACAGACCAGTTGGCGCCGATAATATGTACGAGTGTGAATACTGCTTTAATAAACCAATCAGGGATCAAGAGCAAATGAGGAGAGAGGAGGAGAGGAGAAGAGAGGAGGAGAGGAGGAGAGAGGAGGAGAGGAGAAGAGAGGAGGAGAGACAGAGAGAGGAGGAGAGGAGAAGAGAGGAGGAGAGAGAGAGAGAGGAGGAGAGGAGAAGAGAGGAGGAGAGACAGAGAGAGGAGGAGAGGAGAAGAGAGGAGGAGAGGAGAAGAGAGGAGGAGAGGAGAAGAGAGGAGGAGAGACAGAGAGAGGAGGAAAGAAGAAGAGAAGAGGAGAGAAAAAAACTGGATCAAAGACTACAAGAATCGCAGCAACAAGCCAAAGAGCAGCATGAGAAACAACAGAGCAGCAACATTTCAGAAGAATATGAGTCCAAGCGAGATGTTCAGATGTGGCATCTGGATGAGTTTGAGGCTAAGTATGAATCAGGCAGGGATGAGCTTCTAGAAATCCTCTCTAAGAAATGCAGTTCCCCTGTTCCAGATCTGAGTCTCACTCAGCTGACAGCAGACCAGCAGCGGGAGATCCTGTCAGTCCTGGACAAACTTCTGTTTGATGAATGGATCAGTGCTCCCCCGTCCCTCAGCACTCTGCAGCACACTCAGGTGTTCATCACAGAGCTGTGTGCCCTGTCTCTGGAGATCCCCGAGGGAGTTCCCCTACAAAGCATCTCCAATCAGGTGCAGTCCCTGGTGGACTCCATCAGCCAATCAGCACGCAATGCTTTTGAGAGTCTCCTGCTGACTCAAGCCCTGTACCTGAACCTGATGCACTTTTTCACTGACTGTAGCAGCTCTGATACTGACGCAGTCCTCATAGCCAAACAGTGGGCTGGAGATAAGCTTTCCACTGAGAACCTCTGTCTTATAGAATTCCTGAGCACCCTCGCATCATCACTGCAGAATGTAGTGGGAAGAGCCTCTGTGTTCATTTTAAAGATGGAAATCCAGTGCTTGAAGCTTCTCTTATCCACACTCACACATCTAACCGGCAAAGAAACCCACTCAGAATCCACTGAGATGCTCCTCAGACTTGTGCAAAGAAACCAATGGACCCCAACGGAGGCAGTGACTCTGCTCAAAGCACTGTCACAGAAATATGCAGAGGATGTTTCAATAACTGAAGTCCTTAAGCTGGTGCAAGCTTATGACATATCACCAGAGTGGACGGATGAGTCCGGACGCACTCTCGTCCAGGCTCTGGACTTTGCTGGCCCTGAGAGATTCCATCAGGATTTCCTAAATACTCTCAGAAGGAACGATGAGAGCAGTCTACCTGAAGCTCTAGCAGAAGTGAAGATGTTATGGAATTTGGATGATTCTGTGGTTGATATGATAAAAAACATTACCACTGGCGTCCTGCAGTACGCAGAAAATGCACCTAAAGATGCACCATTTGTGAAAGATTCCTTCACACGTGATCCCTTGAATGCAGACGACCTACAGAAGTCTCAGTCTCAGCTCTGCAAAGCAGTTTTTGACACCAAAGGCTGGTGGCCCACAGTGAGGCAGATGCTGCGGTGGTGTGCGTTGGTGCTGACTCAGAAGAGTGGAGAGCTACAACTGGTTGGTGTGGAAGAAGACCCATGTGTCACAGCCATGTTTGCAGCCACACAAGTCTGCATGGGAAACAAACTGGACATTGTGCTGAGCGCTGATGTTCCCTCAGAGGAGCGAACTCAGGAGTGGTCTGACTTCTACAAGCATCTTGGAATCTCTCTCAACACAAACATGAAGAAAACAAATGCATCTTACAGGGAGGTCTATGAAGCAGACATTGTGTACGGTACCATCAGTGACTTCATCTCTGATTACTTTCAGTACGGCATCGAGGGGATGGGAACAGGGAACCCTCAGCTTAGACGTGGATTTATCATTGAACAACAAAGTCTCAGTTCTTCACATAATCTGGAACTTTCTAGGCTCAAGGACAATGATTCCCTGGTGTTTGCTGCAGAGGCCCTGCAAAGCCTCATGGGTAGATTTAAGAGTGAGGAAATTGAACCAAGACACAAGTTTCTTAAGGCTCTTTTTCAGGTGCTCCACACCAACCTAAACAACGACACAAACACTGACAATAAAATCATCACCATCTCACAGAAAGTTACTGGAAAGGAACTTCCTTCTAATGAGGTCTTTGTTCTGACCTTTCTTGAGAATCTCCTGAGAGTGGTTACTAGAGAAACAGAAGCTGAGAAAAACAGGACATCTCCTGCAGGCAAATGGTGTTTGGAGATTTTATTTGACTGTGCAGAGCAGTTCCAAGACTCAAAAGTACAAACCAAGGAACTCTTCCAGATGGTTTCAAATCTTGGACTTTGGTCCCCTGTAAAGGCCTTAAACCTCCTTGGAGCATTAACTGACCACCATCATGATGAAGACTGTATTTCCATCATGAAGATTTTACACTTGATGGCAACGTATCAGGTGTCTTCCACGTGGACAGACAAGGACAACCAATCTCTCCTTAAACTCTTAGAGTCAACTAGAACTGTGAATCTGATCCAGCATTTAGAAAAGAGCCTGAGCGATGAGAAAACAAAAAGCCTTGACACTCTGTTTGATGAAATACGGCAGATGAAAGACATTGATGAACAAACACTGAGTAAATCATACAGTGTAGTAACTCATGTAACAAACCTGATCGAAACCGGTGAAATTAAAAACCACACAGATGTACAGCGAGCTATGAATCTGAGTCACAGCACGGACACAGAAGACCTTCAGGAGGTCCTGGCAGTCTTATGCAATGCTGTAAACCTGTGCCAGGCTGAAGGGAAGTGGTGGCCCAGAACCACCCAGATGATCAGCTGGTGCCTCTTGGCCTTGTCTGACACTGGGATTCTCCTGGAGATGGGCACGGAGAAGGGAAGTCTTGTGTCATAGCAATGTTTGCAGTGCTGCGTGTGCTTAGGGGTGAAAAAGTAGATGTGGTGTCCAGCTCTTCTGTGTTATGTCAAAGAGATGCAGAAGAATGGACCAACTTCTACAAGTACTTTGGCTTGACAGCTGACACAAACACAAATAAAACCCAAGATAAAGATCGCAAAGAATGCTACCAGAAGGACGTGGTCTATGGCACTATTGAAGCCTTCGCTGCAGATCACCTTCGCCAGATATTTGAGATGAAGGATGTGAGGCCTGATCGCAGCTATCAGTGCATCATAATCGACGAAGTGGACTCCCTGCTGCTGGATCAGGGAGTGCAGCTGACCTACCTGTCCAGCCCCATGGTCTGCATGCAGCACCTGAACATCATCCTGGCCATGATCTGGGGCCACGTCAGCCAGTACGGCTTCCTGTCTACAGGAGACCAGACATTTGTCCGGGGTCCTCCTGCTTCATTCTTCAAGGCCATCTTTGACTCAATAGACACAGAAGACACTGACATTAATGATCCAATGGACATTTTACGTATCGCTGAAGAAACCAACACTGTGCCAAGTGGATTTACAGATGATACCTACAAAAGTGAAAAGGATGAACTTCTGATCAAACTGAAAACTGTGAGTCAGGATGCTGTGGTAAAGTTTTTCAAAGAAATTGAGGACTATGTCCCCTATGGTTTCACTGTTTACACTTTAGACGACAAGGGATTGCTCCGTCTTAGAAAACGCAGCCCGTACAACAACAGGGACATTCCAGAGCTTAAATTTCTTGTCTTGGAGGAAGGCTTGTGTTGTACTCTCTATGATTCAGAAGAAATTCTCATCAAGCCCATTGCAGAATTAATCTCAGAGAAGATTCAGTACACCCCATGTCCAAACAATGAAGACAAAATCAGCATTCCTGGATTCTTGAAGAATCTGGTGGAGAAGAAAGTGTCAGTGTGGGTTCAGAATGCCTTTCTGGCAATGCAGCTGAAGCAAGGACGGGAATATGTTGTAGAAAACGACAACGTCTGTCCAGTGGATTTCAGGTCAACTGGTATAATAGAACTGAATAAGAAATGGGGGGATGGTCTGCAGCAGTTTGTTGAGATTAAACACCAAATCAAACTGAGCACAATTTCAACAGTGACAAACTACGTGTCTAACATCTCCTTTTTTGAAAAGTACCATGGGAAAATATATGGAACAACGGGGACACTTGGGAGCAAAGCAGACATTCTGTTTCTGCAGGAGCTATATCCAAATCTGTCTGCCTGCAAAATGCCAACATTCGACCGGAAGAAGTTATTTGAGGTCAAAGGTACTCTGAAGACCTCAGCTGAAGAGTGGAAATCTGAAATAAAACTTGTGGTTATGGCTCAGATTTCTCCAAATTCATACAGAGATGGAAGAGCAGCCCTGGTGATCTGTGAAACTATCAACAAAGCCAAAGAGATCTACGAAGAGCTGAAAAGCAGCATCCCAGGTGAGATCATTCTCTACTGCCGCAGCGACAAAGACAGTTTGAGCAAAATAGAAAAGGAGCTGCTACCTGGTGATGTCATTGTTGCCACAAACCTAGCCGGGCGTGGCACAGACATAAAAGTGTCCAAACGGGTGAACAACAATGGAGGACTATTTGTGATCCTCTCCTTCCTCTCTGAGAACACAAGAGTGGAACTCCAGGCTTTTGGTCGAACTGCTCGCAAAGGTAAACCTGGATCTGCTCAGATAATCGCGTCCACTGAACACCAGTCTTTCAGGACGGTGTCTTCTCTGGAGGAAGCTAAGAGCACAAGGGACAGACTTGCAGCACAAAAGATAAATCACATGATGAACGATGTCACTGAGTTGAAACTGCGAGAGGACCTGTTTTCAGAGTACTGCAAAACTCTTGAAGATGTTTATAAGAAGACAGATGGAGAAGAGGAAAGAGCTGTTGTTGCCATCATGAATGAGTTCTGGGGGATATGGCTGCAAACAAAATCAGAGGAAATTGACCAGTTGAAGAGAAATGAATTGCAAACGAGTTTGAAAGCTGATTTGTCATTGGCACAAAGTCAGTCTCAAAGTCAGACTTCACCGTGTTCTAGCATTTATCACTACATCACGTTTGGAAATGTCGTGCTGAGTGAAAAACAATGGGACGTCAGCGCCAGGCTATTTGAAAAAGCCATGAAAAAAGATGAAAGCTGGGCAGCCATAGCTTTTTACAGTCATGCATACTGCACTATAAAGCAGCAG